CGGTGGAGGCCCCATCCCTGGCAACATCCCAGGCCAGGTTGGACGGGGCTCTGAGCACCCTGCTCTGGTTAAAGCTGTCCCTGCTCACGGCAGGGGGTTGGGCTGGATGATCTCTGGGGGCCCCTTCCGACCCAAAGCATTCTGTGATTCTATGATTCTAAAAATGGAGAATGCAATTCAGTAAGAGCAAGTGCATTGTTCTCCACTTTCACATAATCAGCTACACACATACAAAATCAGAGGTATGTATGTAAGAGCATCACCTGTCAGAGTTGTGAAGAAAGCCTCCTGCTTTGTTTGCCATTGGTAAAGTCTTAGCTGAAATAATTCAAATTATTTGGGCCATTTTCTTTGACAAAATGTATACTAGTCTTGGTAATAATAAGAGGTAAACAAAGTAAGGGAATTGAAGTGAGAGAACAGAGTTTGGGGTGAAATGTCTTCCTGGTGAGAATAGTGAAGCACTCGAATAGATTTTCCATCCTTGGAAATTTTTTAGAACAGGTTAGAAAAAAAAACAACTTAGATACATTTCAACCTGTCTGGGAGGAAGGCTTAGTCTAGATCAGGTTTATTTGTACAGTATTTTGCTTTCCCAGATTGCAGGGGAAGCAAATAGGTAGACATGGAAAGAGCTGGGAGGCACTGCCTTTCAGAGACAAGATGCTTCTGTTCCCTGTGGTTGCTACCCCTCTTGCTGGCAGTCTAGCAAATTTAACTCCCAGCTCTACACCAGTCCAGCAAATTACTATCAAAAAAAATCTCATCTGGCTCCATTTTTGGCTTGTATGCCATGTATACAGACCCTGGACTAGAGGAGACACTTTCAGGCAGTTGTCTACATTGTCAAGTACCTTCTCTCCCTATTTCACACTCACTCCCTCTTCAACTCCAGGGCCTTAATCCCCTTTAGATCCTCACTGCAAAACAGACAAGAGCTCTATCAAGTTTGGTGCATCTGCATGGGTCAATCCTCTGACATCCCAGCCAGCTGCAAGCCCCTGCCTGTTCCTACTTCGTCCCTTCAGCCTGCAGCGTAGACCCCGAGAGCTGTGCTGTAAAAGCACCACTGGCAGTGGTGACAAAGCTTTCTTTTTATTCCTGGAAAACCACACACTCACCCACACCCTGGCAAGGAGATATGTACCACACAAAGACATTCAAATCTGTGCTCTGTGGGAACAGCCAGCCCACACAGCCTGCAGCAGAGTGGACACAGTCAGTCTCACCAAGACCATGGCTTTCTCCTGGGTGTGGACCACAAGGACAGTGTGGACAAAACTTTATGTTATTTATTTATTTCTGTGAACCTAGAGTTTGAACAATGGTAATAGTGCTGATACTGTCCCACTCAAACACAGCATCTGTTCAGTGTCGTATCCCTACATGCAGATGGGTGGGACAGCAGCACTGGGGCTATGCACACATGCGGTCTTGCTCAAACAAAGCGAGTAAACAGAAGCACATCAGCATCAGCAATGGCATCATCACACTAGATGATCTGTGTGCAGTATCATTAATATACCGTGCGATAACATTTTGCTAGTGCTGTGCAGCGAGGATGTTGTGGCAAAAGCCATCTCTAACTGCACTGACCAGCTGGTACTAAAGCTAACCCACGAAAAGGTCTCTTGTTGAGCAAGCCTGCCTGCCACTGACAGGAGGGAAGCGGGGGTGTTGGTGACTCACAGCGCTCTGTTTCAAGAAGAAAGAGTATCTGGCCTAAGGATTGTCTGCCTCACGCAGAAAGGGCAGTGGGCCTATTGTAATGGCTCTGAGGAGGAGAAACCCCCGTAGATTCCTTCCATGCACGTCTGAGACAGCAAAGAACAGAGCCAAAAAGCATGATCTGAAAGAAACAGGAAAAGCTAACATTACTCCATCCTCCTCACGCAGAGCTGGAGGGGTGACCAGACATCCAAGTATCTCTGTGCTTCCCGAACAGAAATAATACAGCTGACTGATTTAAAAGGTCAGCACTCAGAGCAAAGTTGCCTTCTCCCTGGCTTTGTGTTTTGCTTTGTCATGCTTACCTGAGCTCTGCTTTTTCCATGTTTTTTTTTTTTTAATTAAGTACTCCCAAATTGAAATCTCTTCTATTTATACCACCTATCTCCCAGAGCTTAAAAAATAAACAAAGAGGGATGAGCAGAGACTCCCTCCTGCATGGAGATACATATGCAAGGTTGTCTCAGGCCCAGCAGCAGCTTTGTTAATTTAGTGCTCTTGTTTGACACTCCTGCTGCGCTGTCAGGTTACATCGGCCAGAGCAGCTGTTGTGCATATCCAGCTGTGGTGCAACCAAGCTGCAAGCTCGCGGGTGTACGCTGCGTGGCGTGATGTTGTGCGGTGTGGATGGTCCCTGCGACTGAATGGACGGATTCACTCAGGGTATCTCACACCTTCCTTCCGCTGAATGGAAGAACTAGCTCAATTCTCATTTCCTTTCTGCTGCACCATCTTGTCAGGCCACGAGCTGCTGCTAGTCTGACCTGAACACCCCTTTGCTCCTTCTTCTCAGGCTTACGCGCTGGAAGGGAATCTGGAACTGGAGCTGGTGAGAACCGCCTGCATGTGCAAAGTGGTGATCTGCTGCCGGGTGACTCCGCTGCAGAAGGCCCAGGTGGTGGAGCTGGTGAAGAAATACAAGAAGGCTGTGACCCTGGCAATAGGAGACGGCGCCAACGATGTCAGCATGATCAAAAGTGAGTGATGGCCGAGCCGGCATGCTCTAGCAAACTGACTCACTGATATCTTTGCTATCTGAGGTGGCCGAGCAGCAGGAACACATATCTGAGTGCCTTCTCTACCACCCTCTTCGTGGTACCAAGCAGCTGTGTCCCAGGTTTTTGGCAGGTTTCTGCAGAGCGCTGTCACTACAGCCTGCTCGTGTCTCCTGCCTTCCAGGACACAGGAGGGCCCTCTGCTGTGCCCCCACCACCCAGATCGCAGCAAGCTAAGGTTGCGCGTATTGCCTATTTCTCTGTTTCTACCTTAAAACCGACAAAAGCCCACCGGGGCTGTGAGATGTCCACCTGTGTGCCTGCATGGCCACCATCACAAGGGCAATACAAAGAACAAAACAAGTTTGTGTCAGAGAGGGCCTGCCTGCAATGCAGAAAGAAAATCTTCATGCCTGTAAACAGTCTGTTTTTTATTTTTTTTAACATTTCCATGTGGTAGGGCCTTTTGTAATTATCTCTCGAGTTATAAATCACAGGCTTCTAGGCCCCTTCGTCCTTGAGCATCATTTGATGCTGCATTACCTCAGTGAATTTATGAAAAAAATCCCCTAACTAGGTATAATTAAATTAAGATCATTCAGAAAAGCCTATTGCTAATCTTCCTTGTGTTAATTTGAAAGAATTTATTAACTGGAGCCTTTTAATTAAGAAAGAAAAGGCTAAGTAGGGACCTTCAAGGGAGATAAGCCAGGCAGTCAGTAAAGAAAGGATAAGAAAAGTTGAAGTGTACATGATAATTAGAAACTAACCCATTCCCCCCATGAGAGGGTTGGGACTTTGGGATTTTATCAATTCACTGTTCCGCGGAAGCCTCTGAATCTAACCAACCTCCAGCCATCAAGATTGTTCTCATTAGTTAAAGCTGTATAATTAGCTGTCACATTAAACTTATGTCCGTGTTTAATAAACCCAAGTTACTATTAAAAAAAGATGTGACTCTTCTATCTAATTATTTGATTGAACTAATAAAGCCTAGGAAAATGTAAAAAGGCTACAGTCTGCCTTACAGCACTGTGTCTGAGAAATCTATAAGGGGTTTGAAGATTTTGCTTGTCTGGAGTGATATTTTAAGGCTGCTGGAAGGGCATGCATGCACATAAATACAAGTCACGTGTCAATATAAATTAAAGTTATTTTTTCATAACAGCAGCTGTTATGAACAACAGCATTTATGCTGTTGGAAAACATTCACAAAGAAAACACGAATTGTCACTGAGGGTGTAATTTTGTTCAAATAATACAAGCCCAGTTACTGGAAATGTATCACCACAGCCAAAATCATAATGCTGCTGAAAAAATTACTGCCCAAAAATATTTTTATTTTTTTAAAAATAATTTTACATACGACTTTTTATGAAGGCTAGGAGAGACTTAACACAGTGTCCCAGTGCAGGGAACTCATTTTAAAAACGGGGTAATCAAAACTCTCAGTGTAATGACATGATCAATGACCTTCTTGTTGCAGCTGCTCACATCGGGGTTGGTATCAGTGGCCAGGAGGGGATGCAGGCAGTCTTGTCCAGTGACTTCTCCTTCGCACAGTTCCGTTACCTGCAGCGCCTGCTCTTGGTCCATGGCCGGTGGTCCTACATCCGCATGTGCAAGTTCCTCAAATACTTCTTCTATAAGAATTTTGCCTTCACATTACTGCATTTCTGGTATGGCTTCTTTTGTGGCTTCTCAGCACAGGTAGGTCCAGCTTCTGTTTTCTCATGGTCATGTCTAGCATTTTCAAGTAAAGTGTCTGGAAACATTTTAAAAGGAAAAAAACTATGCCATTCCCCCCAGCTCACTGAACAGCACACAGGTCTGTCTTCTTCAGCTGTACAAGTATAAAGCAGATATTGCTGCCTTCATTATACTGCTGGTAGAGGACAGATGCCTGAAGACATTTAGGTACATTATGAAGCACACAGGTACCTCGTGGGATTTTCCAAAGTGTTCAAACTGACTACAACCATCAAACAAGGATACAGATGACACAGAAGCCTGACCAGTTTGCAGATCTGTGTAAGACCTGCGCTTGTCCTATTAGCATATTCAAAGCAACCAGTTTAACCCCAGGATGCCTGTGTGCTTCAGCAGCTCGCAAGAGGAGCAAATCTTCTGCAGCGAAAAGTCTGGTGTTAGTTTAAGACAAACCAATTTCCATCCCAGACCCTGCTAGCCCCGGGGCTGTGGGTGCAAGGGTGCAGGCAGGGCGCTTGCCCTCCACCCTGCCCGCTGGCTGCCCACCATGGAGCGCTGATCCCAGATGTCAGCGGCTGCTCTGCGGTGCCGGTGTGAGGGTGTCTGGCTCTAGCTGTGGACAGCAGTGGATGCTGAGCAAACAGGGCTGGCATAACATGATCCGTGTATTCCCACAGCTTATGGTATGAGCCATTTAGGGCTGCTGAGCTTGAGTTACCTTATACTTTTGGTCTCAGTGGCATCTCGAACCAAAAAAATGCCAGCACTTAATTGTGTATACTTTTGAGGAGATGGAACAGGCAGCCTTTTGCTAACTCCATGCTCTGTTTTTTTTCTTTAGACTGTCTATGATGAGTGGTTCATTACGCTTTACAATTTGGTATATACCTCCCTCCCGGTGCTAGGAATGAGTCTCTTCGATCAGGTACTGTTTCTGTCACCGCCTGGATTTGTTTATAGGGGTTTTATGTCTGGCTGCTTTGAGCTGGTTCCATGAAGAAAAAGCAGCTGACTTTTTGGCTAGCTATTGTGGTATCCCCTAAAATAGTTTCCTGCTAGTGAGAACTGAGAGCACAAAAAAAGGATGCACCAGGGCAGAGATGGTGTATTATCCCGATTTGGCCTGTGGGTTTCAGCATGTGGTGAGACTTTTGGATTTGGCTGTTGACCACAGTAAAAGCTGCCATTGAAACACTCCCCTGAAGTAGTCACGTCTTATTAGCTCTGTTCCTGAAGTCTGACAAGTGACTTTTTAATGACCACACAGAACAATGAATGAACTAGAACCCTGAAGCCAGGTTTTCCAGGTTCAGCCTTTCTACTGGAAGTCTTCCTGCAGTAATTTCACATACACATTTTTAACTCATGTGCTATTACTGTTCAACAAGACATAGAAATAAAGCCATTCCTGTATTCCTTTTACAAGTTAAATAAATAGGAACTTGCTGCTTCGCAATGGTTCACAGTGTTCAGTTCTGGTCACTTAAGGGATCCAGCTCAGACAGCCTTGCCTGTGTGTGGACCCAGGGGAGGTATTTTCTATGCCTTAGCTCCCAGGCAACTCTCGGGGAGCAGACCATGCAGTCTGCTTAAGATGAAGTATACCTTCATTTTTTTTGCAGCACTTGTCATCTTTCTCTGCACAAGAAAGGTGAAATTCAACATGGAAAATGTGTCTAGGTGATCGTGGCATGTGCATGCTCATCAGTACAACTGAGTGAATTGTGTGCTAAGCTTTTTCTCATGGAAATGCATGTTACAGGGACACAGCAACCCTAAGTGGTCTTGTGTGGTCAGTTGGGTAGGTGCCAGCAAATCTGACCATCTCCTATCTGCTTTCAGGATGTGGATGATCGCTGGAGCATGCTGTTTCCTCAGCTATATGTGCCGGGCCAGCAAAACCTCTATTTTAACAAAATGGTGTTTGTCAAGTGCATGTTGCAAGGGATCTACAGTTCCCTCATTCTCTTCTTCATCCCCTATGGGGCCATGTACAATACAATGAGAAGTGATGGGAAGGCCATTGCTGACTACCAGTCCTTTGCACTGATGGCCCAGACCTGCTTACTGATTGTGGTGTCTGTACAGGTAAGGCATCCCAGGTAATATTTATAGGAATTAGTTGCTGGCTTATGAAGGCAGCATCTGGAGGGCCACTTGGGATCTTGATAGCATTGCATTTGCTGCTGCACCTTGCATTCTTGCAAAAAAAGTCTCTTGACACCAGTTTACTCTCCTCAGTTCAACAGAACAACAGATTTGTATGTTATGAAAGATCAGGGTGACAGGAAAGCAGAGTCTTGGTGTCATGTTTTAGCCCCAGCCAGCAACTAAGCACCATGCAGCCACTCGCTCACTCCCCCTACCCCAATGGGATGGGGGAGAGAATCGGAGGAGTAAGAGTGAGAAACACTCCTGGGTTGAGATAAGAACAGTTTAATAATTGAAATAAAGTAAAATAGTAATGATAATAATAACAATGTAATAATGATAATAATAATACTAATATACAAAGCAAGTGATGCACAATGCAATTGCTCACCACCCGCCGACCGATACCCAGACAGCTCCTGAGCAGCGATTGCTGCTCCCCAGCCAACCCCCCCCAGTTTCTATACTGAGCATGATGTCATATGGTATGGAATAGCCCTTTGGTCAGTTTGGGTCAGCTGTCCTGGCTGTGCCCCCTCCCAGTTTCTTGTGCACCTGGCAGAGCATGGGAAGCTGAAAAGTCCTTGACTAGCATAAGCAGTACTTAGCAACAACTAAAACATCAGTGTGTTATCAGCATTCTTCTCCTACTAAATCCAAAACACAGCACTATGCCAGCTACTAGGAAGAAAATTAACTCTATCCCAGCCAAAACCAGGACAGTTGGGAAGTTTGCAGTCATAGCAGACAAAACAGTTAAGGCTGGGAATAGAGAAGGACTCATTCCAGGTTTATGGGAAGGGTTTGAAGCACAGGACTGTCTGTCTGCTATCAGGCAGTTATTTAAAGGGTCTTCATTATGGGGCTGTCTTTGTAGCTTGGCCCCATGCATGATGCAGATGCTAGGCCTGCACTTGCTGGAAGAAATAGCTAACACTTGGGTGGTACAAAATTCAGATGGTACTAGCAGGATGAGAGAAATTTCTTAAAAGGAAACCAGTCAATCACACCTCCCTAGATAATGGTTTCTTCTGTCTGACATCTTGTAGGCTTCTTCTTTTAACTTTCAGTTCTAGATCACAGCTTGCAGGTGGGGACATAAGCATGGCTCATTTGAACTCAGTATTCTGTCTCCAGTACTGGCCACTGGTGAATGCTTGAGAAGAGGGCAACAACAGGGCAAACATAGTAATGCTTGCCTTGAATGGTCTCCCAGCATCCTATGATCTGTGGCGTGGTATTTGTTGAGATTTGAATAAATAACAGTCTTGGGGGCAGGTGTTTGCAAAGGAGAGGACAAGCTGTGTTCAGCACAGATCTGCTAAATAATTAAGGCACTGACAATAGCTGTATCACTCCATTCTTTCAGATTGGCTTGGACACCTCTTACTGGACAGTTGTGAACCAGTTCTTCATCTGGGGCAGCCTTTCTGTTTACTTTGCTATCACCTTCACCATGTATAGTGATGGCATGTACCTGATCTTCACAGCCTCCTTTCCCTTTGTTGGTAAGCCCTGGGACAAATCTGGATTGCACTCAAAATGGGCATACTGTGGGGCTTAAATCTGCTGAGTATTTCCAGTACATGTTATTGCCTCTCTAGAGGCAATAACAGAATATATTGATTGACTTTTCTATAAGAAATGCCAGGGTATTTCTGAGGGCTGCTGGGAATGCTTATTTTGAATCCCATCCATCCAGGTGAACGTGTGCCACATTCATTTCCTTGCATAAGAATGCACATTCACATGCAGCCACAGGAATGGTCCTTTAAATAAAGCTACTGAGCTGGCTGGAATGCTTTCTGCTGCTCTTTTATATTGTTTCCAGGTGTCCAGTTCTTACAGATATCTAGGAGCATTTTGTTTGCAGAAGGATGCATGTTCTTTTGTAAATAAGTCAACATGTTTGTACAGGAAAGCATAGAAGTACAACATCCAGAGAGACATGAGAAAAATGCCATGTGACTATGGTGAGCTTTCAGCCAGGTTAAATGGCAAATTCCCAACAAAAAAAAACCCAGTGATGACTAGGTCTTTGGAGTTACTCTCCATAAGAGATTTCCAAACACATGCAAAAAGTGGAGGATAACATAAAAATGAGTCCATCTCCTGAGACTTTGACCAAGAGGAAGATGAAAGCTTAGCAAAGTAATTCAGATGTTTTTAATAGCTCTGTGCATCCATAGCCAATATTGATACAGCATTGTTATGAGACTCTACTTCTGAAACCCCAACACTTTTTTTTTCAAGTCTCAGATTGGTGTATTAATCAATGCCTTTATTTCTGGGTGAATTGTTAAGCCAAGACTTGTTCTGCCCATATTCACTGCAATACCAAGGTGCTTGGCCATTTTAGAAGTATCTGAGATGCAGGTCAGTTGTTGCAATGTTTTTTCCAAGCAGACGGTCACATCGACTCTACAATGGCTTTTAGTATCAAAAATGCTGAGTGAGAGAAGACAGAGTGTCTGTTCAGTTTCCAAAGACAGGTGGTAACTCACTTGCCAGGATATCTCTATCTGCTGTTCTCTTGGTACTATGTAGGTCAAATTAGCCATAATGCTGAGGGCCGCTTAGTAAGGTCTCAGTCTGAAACCATTTTTAAGGAAAGTGTTTCTAGTCTGGACTCAGACAATTTGTTTACTTTAATTTCAGTGGAGTTGTATTACAGTAGAATTTGGCCAACTGAAAAGAAAACATTCAGCAACTTTACTGCCAACAACAGCATCATTAAGCCCTGTAATAAGGGTTTTGCAGACTGTTTGTTCTATCTTACATTCCTTCAGTTTTGGAGAAGCCAGAAGTGAGCACTTTGGTTTCAAAGAAGGTGGCAGTGTCATGCTACCACATGGCAGTTGCTCTGCCAATACACCCATTAGGCTACACTGTCCTTGCAGACACCCAGAGCAACACATGCTCCTCTTGTAAAGGGCTGAGATCATATCGTCTGCTGGGCAGTCAGTCCTCCATATGCTTTGGGAAATGGTGCTGGGAAGTAAGAAAATAGTATTGTCCTTTTGCACCAGAGTCCTGGCAAAAGGTAAGAGGGCTGGACTCAGGCTGAAGAGGTCTCCTAAAGACTTATATCAATCCTTTGCAGTGGTTTGACTCTTTGTAAAGAGATGAGGCATTCACACTGACATCCTCGTATTCCTGAGTTGTTGCTGCAGTTGTGTCTGCATGAGTCTGGTTGTTGCATTTTTCTTTGCTCATCTCAGTGATATTGGTATTGCTGTCTTCTCTACAGCAAGTTGATTTCACTGTTGGAGATGGTGTCTGCTTTATATTTTGGTCTGTTTGCCAAGTGCTTTGGAATCACATAAGGTGAATGATGGTGAGAGGTGGTGCTGTTACGGTTTTAATCCTGCTTTTGTTTTTCAGGTACGGCTCGAAACACCCTCAGCCAACCAAACGTGTGGCTAGCAATCTTCCTCAGCATCACCCTCTGTGTGCTGCCTGTAGTTGGCTTTCGATTCCTGAAGGCTCAGTTAAAGCCAACTCCTAGCGATAAAGTAAGGAGATACCTTACTAAACCAGAAATCCTGCTTACTACTACCTAAGTTTACTGTGGAGCCATATTGCATGGGCTTGGCATTCCTCAGAGTGTATGTCCCTGTAGGTGCAAGTGCTGCCATCTGTCTGTCCCCTAATCCCTTGAGAAGAAGGAGTGAATTTGGGTTTTGGCACAGTTCAAACCATCTGCAGCTGGGACCAAGGCTGAGATTATTTAGATGTGGATTAGATTGCACTGGAGCAAGAAAGCCACACTATTTTTAGGTGCAGGGTTTAAGTGATGTGGGTCAGTGGCAAAGGAGTGGCGTGTTCCTCCTGCCCTGCTGCTGTGGAGTTTTTAGCCTTGCAGACCGCAGCCCTTCACCCTCCACCCAGGCATACATGTTTGCTGGGGTTCTTTTTTTCACTTCAGAATTTACGTTGTTCGTAGCCAACAGTTATAGGCCCCCTCTGAAACCTGCTGCCCTCCCATCCCCAGGAATACGAAGATGAGGCCACTAGGGCAAGGAGAGGCTGGGAGAGATGGAGTGGGCAGAGAGCGCACAGCTGACTACAGCTAATGTACACCTCAAGAATACCAGCATCAACACAGCTACCCAGGCTGGCTTTCAAGCAAGAGCATCTGCTAAATGCTGCTGCCACCTGGTGCTTCCTCCTTCTTCCTGCACTGAGCTGCGAGACACCAGTGTCCCCGGGCACAGTCCCAAGGGCATGCAGCTCAGTGCTCCTCACTGACTGCCCTGATCATCCTTGGGATGTCTGCGAAGCTCCCCAGGTGCTCCAGGACTGTTGGAGAATGAGTGAAGGAGAATGCTCAGCCCTTGCAGAGGGGGTAGGTGGGTACTAGAGAAGACTGCTAGGTATGGAGGTCCGCAGGGCACAGTTAGAGGCAATTCAGGTGTGTAAAAATGGGCTGAGTTTACCCTTCAGTTGAGTAGAAGTCCAACACAGCTGTGGTCCAGAATCCCAGCTTCAGTGCTTGGGTTGAGCATCTCTAGTGCAAAATCACTTTACTTTTCTACCTCCTCTGGGAAGTGAATTGTCACAGGGAGGAGTGTTTGAGTTTCCCGCTGTATGGAGATCCCCAGATGGCAGTATGAAAGGAACTTAAATACAGACCTGATGCTTAGAGAGGGCAAGTACCCACAGCTGCCACTGTCCCAAGCAGGAAGGACAGGGTTCTGGTGGCTGGAGAGTCTGCCGAACCACTGGCATTCAGTACTGGCCTCCTGCCTTTGATAGCCCCTTTTTGAGAAGATGCCTGCTGCAGAAGATCTCGGTAGCCATGTGGAACCAGAGAGCCCACCACCTGCAAATAAAGTGCATTCTTTCTTTCCGTTCTACCAAGGAATATGAGAATTTATTGATCACTATTCTCATCATAAAAAGCTTTTACATATCAGAGATCCCCTTTAGTAGTCTGTTTCTTAGATTAAGTAAGCAAATTTTTAAACGTTGCCTTATTTGTTTTCTGGACTTTTGACTATTGTTGAGATGACTTCTACATTTTTGGTTATTTGACTGAAGTGCCTAAAAGGGCTGCAGTAATACCCCAGATGAGGCATTGCAGAGCTGAGGAACAATACACTGAAATCATCCCCTCCCATGACTTACAGTTGACACTCCCATTAATGCCTTTTAGAATAAGATTGCCTTTTCCTTTTACCAGGCTGCCACCCTGTGCTGCCAGTTCAGTTCCTGCTCTGCAATCCCTCCTGCCATCCCCCTGTTTTGTCGATCATTTTTGGCTTTCGACCCCTGCTTCTGTTTCCCTTTCTTTGCTCCTCTTTTACTGTGTTTGTGAATAATGATGCACTTCCCACTTAGTCCATCTTATTTTCTGATTTCAGGTCCTGCTCAAGATCAAAGAAGCCAAAAAGAGGCCACCTCCGCCCTCACCCAAGAGACGCCTACGTCGGACCAGCACCCGCCGCTCCGGCTATGCCTTCTCCCATCAGCACGGCTTTGGAGCCCTCATTACGTCTGGGAGAAACATGCGGCCAAAATCACCTTTTGGCACAACAGGAACATTTTCACCAAATAGTGACAAACATAAACACAAAGGACTGTAAAAAAAAAAAAAAAAAAAACCACCAAAAACCAAAAAAGACAAAAAACCAACAAAGCACACCAAAGCAAAGGGCTGTCAGGAGAGGAGGCTCTGCTCCCTGCAAATCACTGAGCCGGTGGCCACCCAGAGCTCTGCCCTCTGGGCTACCAAATCAAGGACTTGGGCCTTTCACCCATGTGCACCCTTTGACTCCAGCTTCTCTTCCAAAGACGTGTCCTGCTGCCAGGGAAGGTGGGCAGGGTGAATTAGAGCTGTTGTATGGTATCCTGGAGGGCCTGCCTGGAACAAGACAGAACATGCTGTGGGAGATATCCCCACTCCCTGAGATTGTTCATAATGCTTTTTTATTTTTTTTCTCCCTTTAAATACATACCTCAGAGCAAAGAGAAGTCCAGGCTGAGGAAAAGGCTGAATTAGTGATGTCCTTCTCATTTACGTGCCTTTGTTTCTGTCATGAATCTACATGGGCTGTATTAGTGGGGTGACAGTATTGACCCCAGGTGTGCCTTAGGTCCAGCCATACAACCCCCACATCCCAATCTTTGTAATGTGTAATTTTGTAGTCCTTTTACTCTACACAGGCACTCTGGAAGGCATGAGTCGGAAATAACCTCTTTCCAAACTAATGGTTAATCCAGTTTCTCAAGAGATGGCCAGTGCCCAAACACCACTCTCTTCCTGCATCTGCAGTCGGGAAGTGCTGCAAGCTCAAAGAAACCCTTAGTTGGTCAAGGGACAAGGACTTGGCATTCATCAGCCTGCCCTGTTTTATCTGCATTGCAAATCTGCTCTTGTAAAAGATCATTGTCCTCAGAGCCCTCCTCAGGTTTTGTGGCCAGGCACCAGCCATTTCATTTAGACTTAAAATAAAAGGGCAAAAGAAGCTCATGCTCCCATACGGATCAAACCATTAAATCTGGCCCTGAGAAGCCCCTGTTATGGTTAGGGCTCATCTGAGCTGCCAGCACCAGGTGTCTTTCCCAGCCTAAGAGACTGAAGCACACGCAGATCTGACCTGAGGAAAATCACACAAGCATTATCGGAGGCAGAGATGCTATTTCACGGCTAGCACATGGTGTCCTGCACTTTACTCCACCGGCACTGTTGTTCAGTGTAAGGGATGAAGCATGACCTGGCAGCTCCCTCAGCCTCCTTGATGAGCGATGTGGTCAAGTTTCAGAGGAACTTACTGAGGGCTTGGGAGCCTCTGCAGAGTTTCTCCATGCTGGCTAATACTTTCTTTGGGAACGGCTCATCTGTCGATTGTGAGTTGCAGAGAGTTGAAAATCCTATCAGTCTGGCTGCCAGCAGAGGGACCTAAGATGCACAGACACAGCCAAAGACGTGGTGATCCTGAGGGACTGGGATTTGCTCGCTGTTTTGTTACACCAGCTCCATAATCAGTGGGGTTACTGGGTGGAAGGCCAGCGTGGCAGCGTGACAGTCTGTCCTGCCAGCACTGCTGAGCTGTCTAAATGGAGCTTTTTTGTGCAGAGAACTAAGCAGTGTTGGCTGTTGTATTTTTTCAGCTCCTTTACACAAATTTAGACTCTTTTCTTTTTTTGAATTGGATTTTTTTGCACAGTAACCATCTGGTATTTATTGGAAACTCTCTGCCTTGAGTCTGTGAGCTATCGGTGGAGGCAATGTATGATGGCAACAGGCCAGCCGTGTCCCCGTTTCATCCAGTCTGCGTATAAAACCTTGCTGCCTGTGGTCCCAGTTTCAGCAGTTACCGTGTAAGATTGTTTAAACTCTAATTGAAGGTTTCATCTTCCTGCGTTTATCTCAGCACAGAAAAAAAGTCTGTTGCACCTGCTGCTTTGGGAGGCTCCTTGCAAACTGTGGTATTAAATTTCAGCGTAGTCAGTGCAAAACTAGAGCTGGGACTGGATCCAGATTTCAGCGGCCAGGAGCTGCTTGCTAGGCAAGGAGCAAATTCTAATCCGGTGATCTCCCCTGCAAGGAGATACCTAAGTAAAGTGAGCGCCTGCACCCTGACTGAAGAAACCGCTGTGATAGATAGTGCTTGTCTCCGCCCTCTGATTCACCATTCACTTTGCAGAGACAATCACGGCTTTCTGATGAGGATTGTTTCTTTCACAGTCAGCCTCCCTGGGGCTAGAGGAAAAAGGAGAATTTATGCAGGTAAGCAGACAGACCCACAACACCCAGACTGGTCTGTGGACCGAGAGTCCTATCCAAGCTGTTTCTAGCATGTAATGCAGCAGAATATAATGCAGAGCAGCAGAGGCAGACCTTTTGCTGACAGAGCAAGGCAATTCTGAGATCAGTGTCACTCTTCTCATATGGTTTACGTGCAAAGCGCTCACCTTCTGGCTGAAGGGGATTTGCAAATGCCTTATAGGACGTGCAGGGGATAATAAAGCTGTTGGTGAACTTGCGCAAGACACAAATATTTCATTTGAAACATATCAGCTGGCAGTGATGTCTGTCCTACATCACTCCTGATTTTGTAAAATCATTTTTTTTAAATAAAAAGAGAATATTGGGATGACCAATTCCTTGCCAGTCTGCTAATTGATCAAAGGGGTTTATAACCAGATGTGTATGTTATTCCTGGACCTCCTAAAGCGGTAGGATGGTCTGTGGGAGGATGGATCTGAGATGTTAGTGCTTTTTGTGTGGTATCCTGATTTGGGAAACAATCAAACTCCCAATCTTTGGATCCTATCAGGGGTGTTTTAAGAGGAAACTCAGAGAAAATGTCAGACATCCTTAGATGGGGGGGGAGCTCATCTGTGGCCAAAGCGGGCAGCCCTGCAGGGGGGCAGCTGCCTGGGGGTGTCGGTATTTCTCCTGTGTGCAGTGTTG